AATTAGATGACGAGGCATTTGGCTACCTTAAGAGAGTCACATCAAATCATGAGATGTACAATGCGTGTGTATGTGTATAAAAACAATCATTTGTAAATAGCTGACATTAAATTTACTCTAAAGAAAAATAAATTCAGTATTGGAAAATTAAGAAACAACAAATGTTGGGTTAAAGCAATGTTAAGCATTAGAAACCTACTGATTAGCCAATGTCATGTAAAAAATAAGGTAATAATGATCTCACCTTGACTGTAATAACTCCATCTTTTCCAACTTTCTTCATTGCATTTGAGATCAGTTCTCCGATTTGCTTATCTCCGTTTGCTGATATAGTTGCAACCTAACAATACAGTACATGTTATAATAGTACTATTACGTAAGAATTATGCTATATATTTCTTTTTCATACCAATAAAAATTTTGATTAGATTGCCCTCCAAAGAACAGAATAAACTCATAATGTAAACTTCATATTTCTTGCTTTATATCAATGGATAGAATTCACTAATGCAAAAACTTGCCATTTAAAATCATGCTTACATCAGGTAATGTAAAGAAGAAGAAAAAAAGTAAGTAAACATACTTTAAAACCGGGACATTTAAAATATATATAAATAATATTAATCTTTTGTGTGTGTGCATGTATTTATAAAAATTAACCACATATTTACTGAAACCAAAGTTTACTTATGTGTAGGTGATGGAAATATTTTACATAAATGATATTTGTTAAAAGTACAAGCTCAGGGTCTGTACAGACACAAGTTGAAAAAATTCCAGGACTGAATCAATAAATTTCCAGGAACAACCAAGCGAATAATTATAAAAAAAAAGACTTTACTCCCCATTGCTTCTAATTATGCATTTTTTTCACATAAAGCTGTCAATTCCCATCGTTTGTTGGTGTTGTTTAAATAATGCAATGTGGCTTTTAAGTGCAGTTTTGCCCATATTCAAAATGTCAAAGGTTTTCTTGAACATGTTGCAACCTGCATTGTGTTTGGCTGGACCCTCATGTACAAGCCAATCTGCATATTCTGGTTTATCAAGTCATAAGGCATTAAATGTGCATTTCCCACCTGGGATAGCTTTAATTTGCTTTACATGCTTGGTCAAGCATTAAACGTGATAAATCAATGCTTTGTTAAGTTTCAGCTAATCCACGAGCTGCCATTGCATTGCAAATGCGCAAATTGTTAACAGACAGCATTTAATTTGGTAATGTTTTTCAGCCTATGCATTATATATAAGGGCCTAAGTTATGACTGTTATAGTACGTAACCATGTAAATTTTTTTGAATATACATTTTTGGGGTTTATGTGAAATGAACAGAATTTTTTTTTCTTAAAGAGTAAATTAATTTCAGGAGTTTTCATGAGCCTTTGTACATTTCCAGGACTTTTAAGCACTTTTACAGGAGCATGTTAGTTTTCCAGGAATTCCACAAGGTGTACGGAGCCAGAAGCTATAACAGTAAGTGACCATTTTTCATAGTACGGTAAATATATACAAGTACTTTGAACAAGACTAAGTTAATTAAATTCAAAACTTAGTTAAGTATCAGATATGGAACAGCCTCATGCCCAACCTATGAAAACTTAGCTGTTACAAAAATTATTTTATGTTCCCATCATAAATAACTAACATGTGCTCACTTTTATAGAAACTGATTAAAAAAAGGATTTTGTTAAAAGGATATGCACTATTACAAACTTCACACACACAAAAAAAACAACAACCAAAAAACAATTAAAAAAAAAAAAATTCTAGCATCTCACCTGGGCTATTTCTTCAGGAGTTGTCACATTCTTGGATAATTTCCTTAAATGTTCAACTACCTTTTCAACTGCTGTCATTACTCCTATGGGAACAGAATAAATAGTAAGTTAGTAAATATTACAAAACTTTGACTCAAATGTGCACTATAGAATGTACAAGTTTTATTCTTACCTATGAAATATATTTAATGCTTCTATTAATTGACCAGCCTTCTCTATTTCTAATCTGCTAATGAATAAACAGATGTCTTATTCTACTTGGTTTCACAGTTATTCTTGCAGATTGTAAAAACACATCAAAAAAAGTTTAGCAAAATTTCTTAATATATTGTAATGCCATCTCACAAATAACTTATGTTAAACTATATAAAGTATTAAGACTAAGAGTAACTATATTTTGAAGTTGAGTAACAACCAGTCCTACATTTTCACCTATTAAATAAGTAAAATCATTAAATCACTAATGAAACCAAACCTTTTCTTATTTCAATTGGATTTGCACCCTTGCTGATTTTTTCAAAACCTTCCTTTGCAATTGAACGTGCTAAAATTGTGGCAGTTGTAGTTCCATCTCCTGCTTCTTCATTTGTATTGTTGGCAACATCCTGAACAAGCTTAGCACCAATATTATGAAATTTGTCTTTCAGTTCAATGGCCTTAGCTACAGTTACACCATCTTTTGTTATTTTTGGACTACCCCAGGACTGTTCAAGTATCACATTTCTTCCCTAAATCAAGAAAGTTTCATTGAATGAAATTATCTAGTTTAAATCTTTAATCCTAGTTTCAACAAAATCCAATAAAAAAAAAAAGATTAAAAAATGGTAAGTTTCAGAAATAGCAATATTCTACTTAATTTTAAAAAGGTAGTACTTGTGTAGTCGTGGGAGGCAAGGCACACGACAGGGGATAGG